GCTACAAGACATCCTCATCAGCTGCTTCAAGGATGGGCTAAATGATGAAATCTATAACACCTGTGTCTCCAAGGGTGCCCCCCCTCTCCATGGATGGTACATACTGGTGGAGGAAGTAGAGATCAACCTGGCCTGGAACAAACACCGACTGGGACATGGATGGCAAAATATTGACCAGCCCACTGACTGTTCCATAGAAATCCTGCCAGGGGCCAAATTACCCAAACCCAAGCTATATGTCCAGAAAGCTCATCGACATCAAGCATTGGTAGGCCATTTGGGAAAAAGAGCCATACAGAGTGCAGTGGGCATTACTTACATGGAGACATCTCCTGGAGGAGGATAAGACTTCTTTCAAGGTTTGGATGGACCACAAAAATCTAGAGGTCTTAAACACTTCCCCGAAAGCTGTCACCCAAACAGGTCCGATGGGTGCAATACTTTAATTGTTTCAATTTCATTCTGAAATACTCCGAGGGGGGGAAATTTCCTAGCTGATGCACTATCTAGAATGCCTCAGTATAATAGCTCTAAGCCACAAAAAATCAGACCAGTCATCCCTTCCCACCAATTTGCAGCACCAGTAACCACCAGGGCACAAATGAGAGTGAAAGCCACCAAAACAGAAGGCATTAAAGCCACTTTAAAGGGAGCCCTGGAGGGAGGCGAATGATTTCAGAAACATAAGGATGAGTGCACCATGAAAAATGGTTTGGCATGGGTAGGAGCTAAACTGTACATCCCGAAAAGCCAGAGACTGTTAAAATGGTAAGTGAGCACTTGTCCAGCCTAGACGAGTTCAAATCGCCAGGACCAGACGGATTACACCCCAAGGTTCTCAAGGAACTGGCAGATGTGATCTCAGAACCACTGAACTATATTTTTCAAAGATCCTGGAGCACAGGGGAACTACCAGAGAACTGGAAAAGAACTGATGTAGTTCCCATCTACAAAAAAGGAAAAAAAATGGACCCAGAAAATTACAGACCTATCAGCCTGACCTCAATACCTGGGAAGATCCTGGAAAAGATAATCAAACAACGAATCAACGAACACCTAGAGGCAAACAAAGTCATTACTAAAAGCCAACATGGGTTTGTCAAAAATAAATCATGCCAGACAAATCTTATTGCATTCTTTGACCAAGTGACAAAATTAGTGGATCAGAGGAATGCTGTGGACATAATTTACTTGGACTTTAGTAAGGCATTTGATAAAGTAGATCACAACCTACTACTTGACAAGATAGAAAAATGTGGGGTAGAAAGCACCACCACCAGATGGATCCGTAGCTGGCTGACCGGCCGTACTCAGCATGTGGTCCTCAATGGAACCGCATCTACATGGAGGAAAGTGTGTAGTGGGGTGCCCCAGGGCTCTGTTCTGGGCCCAGTGCTCTTCAATATCTATATCAACGATTTGGACGAGGGGATAGATGGGGAACTCATCAAATTTGCAGACGACACCAAGCTGGCAGGAATAGCCAACACTTCAGAAGACAGGCTTAAGATACAGAAGGATCTGGACAGACTTGAACACTGGGCGCTATCTAACAAAATGAAATTCAATGGTGAAAAAAGCAAGGTTCTACATTTAGGCAAGAAAAACCAAATGCACAGGTATAGTATAGGGGGTACCTTGCTCAACAGTAGTAACTGTGAAAGGGACCTCGGAGTCCTAGTGGACAATCACCTAAATATGAGCCAGCAGTGTGCTGCAGCTGCCAAAAACGCCAACATAATGCTAGGCTGCATTAACAGAGGGATAGAATCAAGATCACGTGAAGTGTTAATACCACTTTACAATGCCTTGGTAAGGCCACACTTGGAATTCTGCATCCAGTTTTGGTCACCGCGATGTAAAAAAGATGTTGAGACTTTGGAAAGAGTACAGAGAAGAGCAACAAAGATGATTAGGGGACTGGAAGCTAAAGCATATAAGGAACGGTTGCTGGAATTTGGTATGTCTAGTTTAATGAAGAGAAGGACGAGGGGGGACAGGATAGCAGTGTTCCAATATCCCAGGGGCTGCCACAAAGAAGAGGGTGTCAAGCTATTTTCCAAGGCACCTGAAGGCAGGACAAGAAGCAACGGGTGGAAACTAAGCAAGGAGAGAAGCAACCTAGAACTAAGGAGAAACTTCCTGACAGTTAGAACAATTAACCAGTGGAACAACCTGCCTCCAGAAACGGTGAATGCTCCAACACTGGAGGTTTTTAAGAAGAGACTGGACAGCCATTTGTCCAAAATGGTATAGGGTTTCCTGCCTGAGCAGGGGGTTGGACTAGATGACCTCCAAGGTCCCTTCCAACATTACTACTACTACTACTACTACTACTACTACTACTACTACTACTACTACTACTATTATTATTATTATTATTATTATTATTATTATTATTATTATTATTATTATTATTATTATTATTATAAACCATGACTCTAAAACTGCATAACATTTCGAGTTTGTAAAAACTGTCCATTTAGTCAAACAACAGTTTTGGTGAAAAAGGACATTGGGGTACGTGGCAAGCTGCCCAATATGTGCCTCAGCGAAACAATGGCAAGGGAAAACACCAGGGCTCCTTCAAACAGTAGCAGAGCCTAGCGCTCCATGGAAAGAAGTCTCCATGGACTTTATTGTAGAACCCTCTGACAGTTCAGGAAATACGGTGAAGTGGGTCATAATGGACCTATTCTCCAAACAAATACATTTCACAGCCTGCCAAAAGATCCCATCTGCCCGTGCCTTGGCTAAACTTTTCGTTCAACATGTTTATAGACTGCATGGGGCTCCACAACAAATAATCTCCGATCGCGGAGTACAATTCACCTTGATGTTTGGGCAGGAGTTTCTGGGATTTTGGGGGACTTCCCAAGGACTAAGCTCCAGTCATCACCCCCAAACTAATGGGGGTGTGAATGGACCAATGGGGTTCTAGAGCAGTACTTCAGGTGTTATGTAAACTACCAGCAAAACAACTGGATGGAACTCCTCCCATTTGCTGAAGTAGCTTACAATAATTCCACCCATAGCAGTACAGGCTTTACCCTATTCAAAGTGGCCTCAATGCCTGAATTATCCATGGTCACATCCCCTCTCTCACCTCTCTCAGACTGGGTAATCCAATTACAAAACGTCTGGCTAGTGGCTAGAAAATCACTAGAAGAGGCGAGGGAGGCCTATAAAAAGCAAGCAGACAAAATGCACAAAGCCTAAGGACTTTAATGTAGGGTATCTGAGGTATTTATCTCCCAAGTACTTGCAATCCAGGCAACCCTCAAAAAAACTGGGGCCCAAATATGTTGGACCTTTTCCCATTAAATGCCTGATTAACCCAGTCACAGTAGAACTTGAACTCCCCAAATCACTCAGGCACATCCACCCAATATTTCATTGTACTCTGCTGAAACCTGAGGTACTCTCTCCCCTGCGCCCAATGCCACCACCTCCACCTGAGCCCCTCATGATCAAAGGGGAGCAGCATTTTGAAGTCAAGGACTTTCTGGATTCCCACAAACACCATGGGAAGGTCCAGTATCTAGCAGTATGGAAAAACTTTCTCCCTTCTAAAACGGAGTGGGACATCAAACATGTTAAAGCCATCAAACTTCTTAAACAGTTCCACAATCAATACCCTGACAAACCAAAGTGATCTAACCCCATTTTTCTTTGTTCTCTCTCTCTCTCTCTCTCTCTCTCTCTCTCTCTCTCTCTCTCTCTCTCCCTCCCTCCCTCCCTCCCTCCCTCTCTCCTTTTGCAAGACTAGCATCCTTGTCAAGGGCGGCAGCATGTCAGTCCTGGTGCCTTGCTGGCATCCTGCCATCAAAGGGGAAGGGAGAGGCATTTTGGGCAATCCACACCTGTTTATCTAATGGTGGGAAATGAGGAGGGGGAGCTGACATGTGAAGACCAGAGCTATTTGTACCGGTTACACTGAGCATCTTCAAGGCCACGTGCCTTGGGTGTGAAATTCCAGCATCTTAAACAACCCAGAATTTTCTACAACATTACAGCGATCCTGTTTGGGTGGCATCAGACCAGACATTGAGGGGAGGGATGGGGAATGTTGGGTTTGGCTCTTTGTATCGGTGAATGGGAACTTCAGTTTCTGCCCTCACTTTAGTAAAAGTCCTTTCAACTTCAATCGATTGGAGTCGAGAGTCTGCTTTCCTAAACAATTGTTCTGGGGCAGGTCTGATACATTACTTTTTAAGAACAGATATCAGATAATACTAGTAGCAGTGTTACCATAATATATTTTATGACAGAATAATTTGTGCATAGGGTTTAAGGATGAGCAGACTTGCTCTGAGATGTGAAAAATGTTCATGATATACAACAGAAAAAGGTTTATTTCTGACAACTTGTAGTTAAGTTACATCAGAGTACATAGCTGCTTTGATATTAAGTCTTGAAGATTTTATAAGTAAAAACTTTGCATTTGTATGTAGTTGAATAGGAAGGGATGCTGAACAGTGAAGCATCAGTATTTGTAAATTGTTGAGTGGTTTGTCTACTATGGGCTATCACTTAATGCTGTCTTTGAGCATATTCCAAAACAGGTTTAAGAATATTGGCAGGCAAGCAGAATGTGATTCTTTTACTGTAAATAAAGCTTTCAAACTGCAATGGATAATTTTATCATGAATTATTTTTAGGGGACCTCAATTTTGGGCTGTTGTTGAGTGTAAACAGTGCAGCTGCTTCCATAAGTCACATGATACCGTTATATGAAGCTTTGTTTAAAAGTATAAAATAACAGCCTGGATTCTTGCTCTGCACTGGAACAATTTTTGTAGCTGCTTCAGTCTTTCAATTATCTTTGTTTATGGCTTAGTTATGTTCCCTAGGACTCTTCATATAACACTCCAGAGATATATGTTCTCTGTGTAAGCATATATACTGTACCCATACCTAGGACACTGTGTGATTAAAAGCTCTGCCCCCTCAAAGCTAGAAACTGTTCTATTTTGGTGATAGGCACCCTTTTAAAAAGTTGCAAATGTTATTTTAAGCAAAGGATTTATGCATTGCTTAAAACATGTCTCTGTTTTGCAGACCAGATAGTGTTGATGTGGATACTTTGGGCAGCCTGGAGATAAAGTGGATGTCAGTGACAGCTATGTAAACTACAATTCTGCAAAGCTCCAGAAATCCTATATAATGGAGGAACTATATAAGGACACACAGAACCTACCCATGGATGTTACCACTTCACCCTCCGCTATTGCTAACAACAAATTAGAAAATGGAGTAGCCCAGCTGATAACAGCGGAAGCCTGGAATATCAATTCATCAGATCTGATGAAGAAAGCACTTTCACCACTTGTAACTATGCCTGCTCCATCAATATTAACACCACCAGCAGAATCCCAAAGTGGGGTTGCTCTCAAAGTAGCTGCCACCGTGCTTCAGCCAATTTGTTTAGGAGACAGTCCTGTGGTTCTTCCAATACATTTGCAAGTAGCAGGAAGCACTACTCCTCAGATTGCTCCCAACAGTAATACTCCATATGTTATGACCACCCAAGGCCCAGTCCCACTGCCTGTTCTTTTAGAGCAGCATGTATTTCAGCATTTAAATTCTCCATTAGTATTACCTCAGAGTTCACCATGTGCTCCCAATTCCATTCATAGCAATCTGTTTCAAGGTTCTGCTGCTCCTATTGGAAATCCCCAACTGTTAGATCAAAAACCTTCCAATCCAACTCAAGATCCTGTCCTGCCCCCTGTATTTCAGACACCAGGATTTGCTGCTGTGTTACAAGACCTCTTTCCTACTCAAGGAGCTTTGAGCTCTTCACCCTATCAGTCATCTCCAGAATGTCCTCTTCCATCTCAGCCCTTCAGTTCTCCTTTGTCTCCATTGGTGCCCCCAGCCACCTTATTGGTGCCATATCCTGTGATTGTGCCTTTGCCAGTCCCAGTCCCTGTCCCTATTCCCATTCCCATCCCAGTTCCTCATGGCGTTGAATCTAAGGTTAACTTAGACTACTCCAAACCAGCTGCTTCCTTCGTTTTGCATTCATGCAAAGGTACCCAGACTCCTTTGGAGAAGGAAGAAACTAAACCATGTGATTTTATCCACCCCAGAGGAATTTCTCAGTTGAATCGGCACACTGTCATTAAGATGAGTAATGAAATTGAAGTCCTTGATCTTTCTATGAAAACAGCTCCTTCCCTTAAGGAAAACTATGTTAGTTGCCAGAATGCCCCCAATGATAGTGCTTTGGACTTGTCAGTTACATCTTTTCCGAAAATGAACAGTATTGAGACAACAAACTTGAGCTGCTCTGGGTCCATGATGGACAGAACTTCTCATTCGGTGGCAAATAAACCTCATGACATCCCAACCAAGGTTGAAAGCAGAGTGATCAGTTCCAGCTCATCTGAACTCCTAAGACAACAGTCCAAATGGCTGGTGGATCAGAATATTGCAACTTGTGAACCCACAACTGGCAATAATATAGAAATTGTGAGCACTTCACAGACAGCCAAGGTGATAGTTTCTGTCAAAGATGCAGTACCAACTATTTTCTGTGGTAAGATTAAAGGCCTCTCAGGGGTTTCCACTAAGAACTTTTCCTTCAAAAGGGACATGCCTCAGGACTCAGGGCTGCAATGTTACGATGTGAAGAATCAGCCTGAAGTCCAGGATAATGCAGAAGCTCTTAGAAAACCTATCAAAAACAGGAATGTCAAGTTAAAGAAAATGAACTCGCAAGAAATACACATTCTTCCTATTAAAAAGCAGCGACTTGCAGCCTTTTTTCCAAGAAAATAATTTATGAAGTTTTAGAATTTTTTAAGGTATAATAATTATAAGTACTGTAATGATGCACTTCATTTTAAATTACATTTAAATTTTAAACTATATTTAAGTTATTTCAAGATGGAGGATTAAAGAGTGGGTGGGGTAGGGAAGACAGAAGAATATATCTTGATATATCTTTCCAATCAATGCTTCCCTCCTCACCATGTTTTGTCCCAACTTTTCATTAAAGTAAATAAAAAGCAACATATTTTTCAAGTGGATTGCACATTTTCAGCTTTAATGGAATACAATGAATGAGCAAGTCAGAGGAATAAGAGCTATTTTCACTGCCATAAAGTGCTTTGATGATGTAATTCTGAGCAGTAAGTAGAATGGAACTTTCAGAATAAATGTTTGTATGTGTTAGCATGCTTGTTGCATTTCATATTTTTATAATATGAATAACGTGAAACTGTATTATAGCTAGTGTATTCATATTTATTTGTATCATTTTTCAGATTGTTGGGTTATTTACCCATTTTCATCCTTGGTGCTCATCCCCAATTTATAGTAATCTTTATTGAGACAAAATTCTATTACCAGTATTAATTTTATAACAATGATTTCTATAGCAAAAATTGAGGCAGTCTAGCAGAAATGCTTAAAAGGATGTAGAGGTAGACCTGGAGAAACAACAGGCCACTTAATAATGGTTCAAAGCTATGACTGACACCACAAAACTACATACAACTCTGTTTCAAATTTATGATAGCTACAGTAGCCCCATGATCATTCGCCCTTATGATAGACCACAGGGATGCTGCAGCGCACCCCCACACCTCTCTCTCCTTCCTCCCCGTTCCAGATCTTCTGTGCTCGGGACTGCTCTCCATCCCTCCTGGAAGCAGCCACTATTTTCCAGACCCCAACAAATCCTTGAGGAAATGACAGTTGCTTTCAGATCTTTTGTGCTGATCAGATGGCCATCAGAAAGCTACAAAGCTCTCCTGCCTCTGCCTAAGCTTTGAAAACCTGGTGCCCTGCATAAAAGGTGGTAGCTTCAGGACGAGCTTCCCAAAACCTTTCCCTTGCTTAACTCCTTCCCTTTCTCCCCAGAAAGCCACATTTCTTCAGTAAAGAAACAAATAAACAAAAAAGAGTGGGAGCGACAGACTTGTTAATCCCCCCCCCTGCTGCCACCGCCCCAATTAGGTGCTAAAACTAAACTCTCTACCTCTGCTCTCCAATCTCCATCCCTTTTAAAAACCTTCCCTTGACTCCAGGTTGAAGAGTAGAGGAGCAAAAGCAAGAAGGAAAGAAAATCTTTCCTCAACTTTTTCCTTTAAACTGGAAAAGAAAAAAAAATCATCTCAAAAAGTACTGTAAAAAATACTGTAACAAAATGGAGGAGGCTGGGTCTTTGCAAGCTTTAGCTCTCCATCTGAATGCCTGTAGAGCCCAGCTAGGTCTTAAAGGCTAGACTGTAGATTGTAGACTATTTGGATATCTGTTTTTGCTGTGCTATATTTGTGCCTTTCTAAAAAATTCTAACATTCCTTGTATTGGATTCCTATGATTTAAGATTAAATTTAGAGTCATAGCTCAATAATGCTGTCTTCTGTGCAGATGTCACTACAATGAAAAATGCTATGCTTTATTCTACTTTACATTGCATGCTGAGCCACTATACTGATAATAGTTTTGATATTTTGAAAGATAACAAAATAAGTAATACAGTGGAATTTGAAATGTAAATCTGACACCAGATTTAACCACTTATCTCTAATTTATATGAGCATAGCATCCTAGAGGCTTACAAATCCTTATGGATTCCTAGTAATTTGGGGAGATATTTCTAATTATGTACTTTGTTTTTAAAATGAGGGACTTTTCTGAGCATACATAAGTAGACTGAAGGTAGGACCTTGAACTTTGGTAATGAAATGGATGGGTAAATGATTGAGTGGTTGATGATCTCTGATGGATCCTACTTGTTATAAAGACTCTTATCCATTTTAGAAACTATTCTAGAATGGGAAGACAAAAATTACTTCTTGTATCCTTTGAATTTGGAAGGAATTAATCAATAGAGCTTTTTAGAATAATTTTATCTTTTATATCTGGAATCACAGGAAAGTTGGAATATTGTATCTATCTAAATCTTGCATCTATGAAGCATTATGAATATTGTTAGACTTGCAACAATCATAATGCTTCATAGATACAAATCTCTCATGCTTATTTTCAGTTTGGTTCTACATTCAGGGAACTGACTGATGAACTTTCTCCAATTGTTCATTCTATGATTATGGCATTGAGGGTATGACTATGGTCCTGGATCAATGAAAATATTAGCATATTTTTCTCTTGATTTAAGCAAGTTAACTGGAAAATGAATAATCAGAACAAAGTCTTTATTATAGAAGGATTCTTAACAGAGATATCATTCACTTTGACTTGAAATCTTCCTTAAACTATAATTAGAAAATCAGTGATATAAAAAAATTCTACTTTGTAAAATATTAGTGCATGTGATTGTGATAAAAATAATCAATGGATGGCTCACTATGGTTGGCTTTTGCCTTGGTTTGAACATGAAAATAGTAGCCACAGTTGATTTTCCAGCTAAATCCACATAAAGAAAAGATCTTATATTATATTTCTGTTGGACTTCTGTATGGCTTATAACACTATTGATCATACTATCCTTTGAGATCTTCTTGGTGGAATAGAAAGTTGGGAGATTATGAACATAACTCATGGTATGTTAACTTCTGACATCTGCAAGATTGAGTTCTTTGTACATTCAAAGAGCTACATGACATAATTGGAACTTTCATCTAAGAGGTTAAGTGCACTTCTATACATTTTCCTTATCTTAATATGGAGATGAGGTAAGATTTGAAACATTGGTGAAATAGCATTGATGAAGTATTGTTTGAAATTCTGGTGGGAATCTTTTTGTAACTGGTGCACTGCTTGTTTCTATGAAATGTTTATTTTAACAGTGGTTTCTTGGGTTTTGATTTTATTATTCTGCATGCACTAACCAAAATTTTGCAGTCAAATAAAATTGATTTTAGCTCCTTTTAATGTGTTGACGAAACAAAATAATGTCCAAGAAACTTTTTTTTTTTTCCTCTTTCAATATAAAATTTTATTATTTTCATCATAGAAAAAAAACATCACAAATATTACACAATACTATATGTCCAAGAAACTTTGATCATAATAATGAAAGTTATGTTGCTTTTTATCTATCACAGTAAGTGCAGGCTGCACTACTCAACTGTCAACATAAGAAGCTATAAATCACATCAAATTACAGTGCTGTTTATAGATGACTGCATTCATTAAGACACTCATATCATAAAATATAATCAGGATTTATCAATTTACATTATTTTTGTTGGGATGGTGCCACTCCAATCTTGTTTTACATTAAAAAGGGCTATTACTTTTTTTTTATTGCAGGCATTGAACTGGGAAGTCTTAGATTTGTTCTCAATATGGAATACAGAATCCACTTATTTATTGGGTGGGAAGGGGAGGAATCAAGTGATAGGAACTCAGATTTGCTAAGGACCAACTTGCAGATATATACATACATACATACATACATACATACATACATACATACATATATATATATATATATTCCAAAATTTGAATTGCTAACAAAGAATTAAGGGAGAACTGGGATAGCTATTTCAAACCTTATTTGGTTTTCATCAGCCAGACATACCCTTCTGAGATTCGAACCTGGGCTTCTGCATGTTAAGCAGAGATGTTAGCCACTAGGCCACAGGCTCTTTCTCACTTTGTTAGCTACAAGAGACAGGGGAAGAGGATGAATGCTTTTTTTCTTTTAGAGCACCCTGTCGGCCCAAATATGGGAAAGAGAAGTCTTTTGCCTGTATCAGCTCAACCTAGAGCAGTGATGGCGAACCTTTTAGAGACCGAGTGCCCAAAAACTGGCCCCGCCCCCGCTCCATCTCCCTGCTCCGCCCCTGCTCTGCCCCCTCCATCCCCCGCCCCGCCTGCCCACAGGACCACTCACCACCTCCAGGGCCCGCCGCAGATCACCCAGCAGTGCTATGGCGGCCACATCCTCTGCCCGCGCCCTGCAGCATCAACTGCATGATGGGGTGTAAGGGCAGAGTCTTGTCTACGCTGCCTGGCTGCCATATCCTTGGCTGCACTGCTCCGCATGGGCCACGCTCGAGGGTGACTCTCCTTCAGGGGGGCTGCTGGAAAGGAGGCAGTCACGGGGGGAGGCAAGGCTGGGGCAACAGCACGTGTGCCCACAGAGGGGGCTCCAAGTGCCGCCTCTGGCACCCGTGCCATAGGTTCGCCACCACTGACCTAGAGCCATCCACAGGCAGCAGTCGCTTAACTGCGACATCATATGTGTTCCAAAATTTGAATTGCTAACAAAGAATTAAGGGAGAACTGGGATAGCTATTTCAAACCTTATTTGGTTTTCATCAGCCAGACATACCCTTCTGAGATTCGAACCTGGGCTGTCTGCATGTTAAGCAGAGATGTTAGCCACTAGGCCANATATATATATATATATATATGTACATGTGCATGTTTTTAGTAGAAACTGATGCTGCAATTTTCCTAATACTGCTATAAGATTGACCTACAGATTTTGAATTCAGACATCTATTTGCTTTTCCATACTGGAAAAGCTACTGTGTGATTCATTTTGTTTGAAATAATGTCACTTTAGAAAACATTTTTTATGTACCAACTTTTCATAATTTGGTATGTGGTAAATGCTGAGTAACTAGAATTGCTATGATAAATCTAAGATGTAAACATAACTAAGGAACATAAAAATTGCACAGAACTATATGGACATTTTACATCTGGGCAATAGAATCTTTCTTATAAAGAACCCTTCAAAAACTAACTCTGAGCAATTTTTTTTGATGTTGCCATAATCTGAAAAATTAGTGATGGTTTGAATCTATATAAATAAAAATGTAAATGTTCGTTTGTTCAAAATCTTAAATCTCTGAAAGTTCTTCACCGATTGCTTTGAAATTTTGACACAACGTTGCATTCGAATATGCACGTGTTTTTATATACCTATATTATATAGATGTCACACCTGTGACAAGTAAAAACATGCTTTTTTAAAAAAACAGTGCCATCTGTTGGACGTAAAAGCAACACACGCTTTTACCAGACTGAGCCACAGCAACGCGTGGCTGGGTACAGCTAGTTATAACAATAATACTAGAAGTTGTGTCTAACATTTGGAACCTATAGCAGTTTATCTAGTTTTGATCTCTAATTAGACACCTAAAGAACATCTTCATTCTGTGCCTAGCAATCCAAAATCCTTACTGAACTTAATTGTTCAGGAGGTTGGTTTTCCCATCACCGTATACCTACTCATTGTTCCTAGTA